TGGGGGAACCGGCGGCACCCACGGCAAAGGGCCAACCGCAGGAGGGCACGGATTTGGACCCTCCGTCCTAGCCTTCCTCGATGATGAATAACAAAATATTCCCCTGTGGCAGTCTCTGTCGTTCTGGGGGGCCTACTTAAGGGGGAGAGGATGTGAGGGAGCCCGTGCACCCAGCCTCCCTTTCCTTATAGGGGCAGCGCGACAGCCTGGTTGCGGGGACATGACTGTCCCTTCGAGAGTCAATAAAGCCTCTTGTGAGGGGATGGAACACCCCCGTGGCCAGCACTCGCGATTCCCCCTTCCCTGGCACTCGGAACGGGTTTCCCCTTCCTCAGCAAGAAAAGGTATTATTCTCGTCAGAGAGACAAAAACAGGGTCAGTGAACAAAACTAGCTTGCGGACGGCTACACGCTCTCGCTGACACTGGCTTTGGAAGAAGGAGGTCGAACCTGCAACCCCCTGCGAGCCGAGGACGACAACGATCAAGGAGGCGTCTACCTTCAAAGGCGTCTACCTTTAAAGGCGTCTACCTTTGTTTCTGTAGTATCTCCTCGCGACATTTACACGCTATTTCTAACGTATAGCAATAATGTGTCGTTTCGTTGACCTAGCCTGTTACCTTATTCGTCCGAACCCGTGAAGCTGCAATGAGACAAGCTATAGATGGTGGCGTTAATCATGCACAGTACGATTGTTGTCGGTTGGAATATTAGCTAGGCTTCTGCGTCAGCTGTACATAAGACAAACCCCCTACAACGTATACCAGAATGGTCAGTAAATGCTCGCTGCGGACAAAGAATGGTCCGTTATATTCATTGTGAGGAAACTTTCGCTTCCTTAAAACAAGGTTCTATATATATGGGCATCTATGGCAATTTCAAGGGGAATTACAATCACTTCGTCATATCCAGTAGTCTGTTATATCCCGCTTCATTACTTTGAGGTTCTACGGCAATGTTTTGTAACAGTTCATGAAATTTTATTTGCATGCAAGATTTGAAGTTAAGGTAACAAGTGCGCTCGTCTAAAAGAAACAGTTATTAAACACATTCTTTCCATGTTTTTCAGAGGGCCACAAGTAATGATTTCATAAATTCCTAACAACTCGCGCATTCTAATTCTTAGCATTTATTACCTCAAAAGCAAATTAAGAATTTTTTCAAGCAGGCTCAATGCTTTGTGTCAAGGGAGTGAGCATCATCTCAGAAGCAGCAAGGTGTACTTTGATATTGTCTTGAGTAAGGAGAAGACGAAGTGGGAGGAGAAGCTTGTGGAACAGGCACGAGGCACGAGTGCATTCAGGGCAGAGCACACGGCTTGAAGCGCCTGACACGAGCCGTAATGCAAGAGGAATGCGCGATGAGCTGGCATTGCTTGCGTGGCTAGAGAAGAATACGGTCGCATCGGTAGCTACGTTCTACCGATGGGTGCAGCGAACAGACATTCGACTTCGAAGGCCGCGACGCTGGCATTCTTCTTTACGATCAAAAATAGTGTTTTGTGTGTGTGTGTGTGTATGTGTGTTTTTGTTTTCGTTTTACGTTTTTGTTCTGCTCCAACACACTGGATCGTGACTTGTTCCATGCGGTATTACAGTGTAGACCACCTGCAACATAACCGCTTATAGTGCCAGACCATGTGGGAATTGAGGCTGGCCCGCTGCCTTTGCGCGGGCTTTGCCGCCTTTTCTGCCATTCTCATGTCCCGACATGTCTGCCCTCCTTTGCTGTCTGCCGCGCTGGGAAGGGCGGAGTGACGTTTAACTCCCTCACCCGGTAGCGGATGTTGACTGTGGCGGCGCGCGGGGAGCCTCCCGAGAGGTTTTCGCGCGCTGCGTCGGGAGCGGTGAGTACTTTCCGGGACTTCAAACGGTGAGCCACGCATTATTTTCCGTCCGTCGAGTCCCGTCGCTCGGGGCTCGTCGGACTTCGCCGACGGCGCCTCGCGCCCGAGGCGAACGCTCACCTTTTGTTGCCCCGCTGCGTACTCACGGCCGAAGGGCAGTACGGTGCCCTAGTGCGTGGCCTAGCTACGCCGACCCGTCTCCCTTCGAAGCCAACGCGAGCGCCTTTGCCCTCGCTCGAGCAACCGGGCCCTTTGTCCCGGTGTCTCCGTGGATCACCTTTACCGCGGAGACGTGCTCGTGGCACCCTGTGTAGTACTTTGTGCCCGTGGCGTGGATAAGCCTACTTGCTTTCCCGCCGCGCCTTTTTGCAACGGGCTGTACTGCGTTTGGTGTTGCCACAATAAAGTGTTGCAACTTTGAGCAGTATCGTGTTCTCGCCACGGTGACGGTTAATGCGTGCCCTGCGGCTCGCTAAGACCGGACCCACGCTGGTGGCCGTACTCCTTCGGGATACGTGTACACCACAACCAATACAACGCGGTCTTATTTGACTCCCGTTTACCCTACCGTACAGCAACGTGTACAGTTGAGCCCGCTTATAACGAACCTGAGCGTGAGGTGGCATCCGTTGGTTATATCCAAAGCTCATTGTAAATGAAACACAGCTTATAAAAAGTTCCAAGTTAAAATCAAAAATTATTTTTTTGCAAAAAAGCCCCATAATACACGTCTCTTTCGACAGCGCAGATGTGATAAATACCGTCTCGAGTTTAAGGTGGCGGCGTGTTCTCCGCCGAGGCCTTACAAGCTGTCAGAGGCTGTCTATGTAGCCAATTGCTACAGGCACGCTCGTGGTCGCTGGCTCTGAAGTTTCGTCGTCGTCATCCGATTCCTCTGCATCGCTGTTACCGCGCCCTTCATTCAATATGCCCTCACCCATGCACGGCTTTGCAGTGTCGACAACATCATCATCGGCCGTAATGAAGTCATCCCAGCAGATGTCCCGCTCTCCCAAATCGAAGTCAACGACGCGCTGCCACCAATTAGCGGATCCTCTTCCGGGGCTTCAGGCTTGGCATCGGGTTCGGCGTCAATGAAGCCGGCCTTGCAGAAACAGTTTTGCACGCATGTAGCCTTCACCTCAGTCCACGATGCCTTCAGCATCTTCAAAGCTGAGTACAAGGTCACCCGAAGCGGCAGGTTGGCTGCGGGGCAGTCAGCAGCCATGAGCAAGCGCTCCACAATGCGGCGCCTATGATAACTCTTGAATGCTCGAATGATGCCCAAGTCCAGCGGTTGCACCTTAGATGTTGTGTTGGGCGGCAGGAAAAGCGGGGTTACTGCCGTCAGTGAGGCTTGTACATGGTGCGCGGATAGTTGTCGACCATGAGCAGCATGCGCCTGCCTTTCTTGAGCATGTCTTGGTGAAATTCACGCTGCCACTCTACAAATAAATTGCGCGTCATTATGTCTGTAACGAACAGGCACATATCCTCGAAAGCAACGAGACTTCTTCGATTTGCCGATTACAAAGGACACGCGCCAGTCACTGCCATCTATATTAGCGCACAAAAGTGCTGTGACGCGCACTGTGCTATGTTTGCCACTAGTAAACATGTCGCCTTTCATGGCGCGAGTTTTTCCGGTAGCATCTGATAAAATAGCGCAGTTTTGTCCGCGTTAGAAACGTCTCGCTCCACATAGCTGGAAATGGTGTCTCGATTTGCTTTCAGCCACGAGGCAACGTCTTGGTCACTTGCCGAGGCCGCCTCACCAACTATTAATTTGAACACAATGCCATGGCACACTTTGAACAGATGTAGCCAGCCAATTCCGGGGCAGAAGTCGGGAAAGTCCAAAAGGAATGCAAAGTCTTTCGCTTTGGCCAGCAACATAGGACCGCTTACCGGAATGTTCCGAGCTCACTTGATGCTTGATCTTCACTTTGTTTTGCACAAACTTCCCACGACAACATGCCTAACCGCAGGCTAGGCCAATATTGCCTAAGCAACATTGGTCGCTTTTCGTTACTGGTCATGGACAATCAAAGTTGCGATTTTCTACGGAATCCCCAAACTTTTTTGCAATGGCTCCACTTGAAGAATATGAAATTATATTGTTAATGAAAAGGGAGGCATGGACAAAGGGGGCACACTTGTAAAATGAAACAATTGGCACAATTCAGCACACAAAACTTTGGTCGTGATTTGACACAGTTTCTGCGTAATGCGTATAATCGAGGTGGTCTGAAACGTAGTAGACAAATTTCCGTGATAGTACTTTCTTTTGATAGTTTCTTTCCCACATTTATTTCATTAGCTATGTGAGTATTTAAACGTTAATTTTGAACATTTGAAATTTTGCATGTTTGTGAGCACCCTGCATCGCATGCCTTGATGCAACTGATAAACAAATGAGGCAGCATGTTTAGCATGTTTTGCGCAAGTGCAGCCTATAAAAAAATGTTCTTTTGGTTATAGTGTGGTACCGTGGATATTCCCAACTTCAGCGACTTAAGTTATAAGCAGTCCTTGGTGTGCCACACTTCGGTAGGATAGCTTGAGTTCATTGCGAACGTGGTTTAATTTACTTGTGAGCACACGAGTGTCATGCAGAAAAGCCCAACATGTCACTGAAGGGGTGACTAAAATTTTTTAATAAAAATACACAAAAAAAGGTTTGGTTGCTAAGTGCACATTTTAAAGGCGAGTCCATATACAACAATCTACTGATATAACGACCACTTAGTGCGCCACCTTCAAGTTCGTTATAAACGGGCTTGACTGTATAAATTATTGGTCAAGATTGTAGCAAACAATTAAGGCACTTTGTCCCACAGTATTTTCTTCCAATACAGTCAAGCCCTGATAATTTAGGTCCCCTGGCTCTTTCATATACAAAGAGCTGCCAGACACATATATGCATTGAAGACATTCCCATTCCTGGCGTCGTATCATTAAAACTTTGATGCTTCTACGAAATCTGAGCAAATCCTGTAACATTATACATATTCTTTCACGCAGAGCACGTCTTATTTCAGCAAGTGCGTCCTTTTAGTTGTTTCATCACATCCTGCTTGCCACAACTGTATTAAACAAGTATGTTAAGCTAGCAACACAAAAAAGCATGGTCGAAATACAATGAGACCGCTCACAGCCAATCTTCTCGCAGTGAAAGCCCGTGCGGTAGTCGTGTTCCGTGGCACGCTCTATGAGCTCGCCATGGTACGGGTTGCGCACAATCCGGGGACGCCGGAAGCCAGGCCGACAGCGACACTGGTAGCCACCCCGCCGGAAGCCATAGCCGTGCACTGGTTCACACTGCAGCAAATGAAACGAATTGTGTACCGAAAGAGAGCCTGACCGAACTACCTCAACCAATCATTTTGAACCATCACAGACATTGTGTCTGCCAAGTATTCAAACTGAAATTTCAAACTGAAAGTCGGTTTACCTTTTTCCTCACAGGCACCACACTCTGACATGGGGTCAGGATGCATAATGCTGAGTGCCCCTGCTTAGATGAAGAAGCTAGGCTGTGCAGCGAAGAAATTCCTCCAGCACACGGGAGTGGCAGGCAAAGAGGCACTCCAGTACAGAGTAACTATTTCCTTACCACCCCATTGATCACAGGCCACTATTCAAAGAAGAGTGCCCCACTCCTGGTTTCATAGCACCCTGTCAGTTAGTGTACATGTTGCTCTCACGTTTTTACAACAGTTCACATTTCCTTCATGAGGCACATTTTAAAAGACCCAAAGGTTAAAGCACACTCCAGTGACATGATGGCATTCACACCTGAAACCATGAGCCCTCGAAAAAGAGCAGTTTTTTCAACAGTAATACACTTGATTTTCTAGACTGTTCAAGCAGCAATGACTAGGACAATGTGCTGACATCTAGTTGAGTAGAAAAATTTCAGTGAATAAAATGGGACCATCAGCTGTAAGCCGCGAGGAAGTGTTGTTTTCACTAGAACTGTGTGAATGGCACAATTCTGGGGGCAAAAGAAATTTCAATATTAAAGTTTCACATGATTCGATGTTCACAACACTTAACATGTGCAATCATATTTCCCTGTCGAGGTACCATAACTCACTACGCTGGCGACTATTCTGAAGCACAAAAGAAATGAATGAGCCCTAAACTGGCCAAGCGAAGCAAACTTACACCCTTTTTAGGACACATTCTAAAATGTTCTAAAACGCACATAAGCCCCTTTTCCTGGGCGACATTACTGTGAACAAGGCTATCATACGGTAGCCAAAAATTCATTTCTCAATATCCGAATTTTTTTTTTTATTTTGGTCCACACTCATTCATTTCATTTGTAATTCACGCTTCTTCCTGATCAGACAATGCTTCGTCAAACCATGGACCGACAGGTCTTCTGATGATGTTGCATCAACCTTAGAGCCGCTAAGACTTGCAATATCTGCAGAGGCCATGTTTCAAGCTGTCCAAGCAACCTATCTACACGCAGCATGCAACCTCAGCCTACTGTCTAAGGTAACTTTCAGTAGATTTTCTAATAGCACACATTAAGGCGGCGGTCTCACTCCGGCGGCACGAACACATCGTTTTTGTCACTTTTCCAACTGACGTGGCGGCTGTTCTTCCTGTCTTATATAGTTGGTTTATGTGTCATTGAAAAGCTTAATTTTTGTACATTTTAAACATATCTATTAAAAAAAAGTAAGCTTTTAGCATTTGGGTAGGGAGAGCCAAGAATAAGCGCTATTTACATGGTTTGGCCTGACTGTGTGTCAGCAGTGACCATTTTCTGAAAAATCTGCTGCAGTTACAGCACTGTTCTTTGCGCAAAACATTTAAGACATATTTATCTATTTCCTCAACGTAGCAAATTATTCTAGCACTTTTACTGTATTCCTGATTAGCTTTTGAAAAGAGCCAAATTTAGTAAATGTCGATGCGGACTATCCCGCACCTATTCGCTAGAGAAAATTCATTTTCTGGGTGTATATAGAGGATGGCATTTTCCGTTTGAGTCCTCAATTTTATTTATGTATGCCCGCTCGCTTTTTAATTATATTGGTCTAAATTGGGCTATATTCTCATTAGATAGACCTACCGTGGCCCATTTTTGCGGAGAACTACTGAAGTTCGTTAGCTGAATTTGCACGTGGATAAACTAGAACCCCTGATCTATTTCCTCAACGTAGCGTTTTTCAATAAAGCAAGCAGAAATGCGAAACAAAGCTCGCAAATTGTCTTAATTTATCGTGCCGTAAACATCAACGAAATCGTTGTTATCTTGAAATAGCGCTAAAATCTAAGCATGCATAGCCTAAAATATAACAGTTACGGTCTCCTGGTATACTTATGCACACGAATCGCACACAAGAACTGCAGGAATATTGAGAAATCTACATTATTCTTATCACTACAACGAAAATATTCCCCTAGCGCCACCTAAACAGAAATAAGGAAAGCGCTGAATTTGAAGGTTCCCTGTCTCCCCGAATGCGGCGTGCGAAAACATTTTGCCTCAGGAGGAAACGTCTTTTCTAACTTCAAACCATGCACCGTCATCTGTAAGCCTTCCTCCCCTCTAGAGTCTCATAAGGCTGCGCGGTACCGCGGGACAGCGTGAAAACAGGTGGTCAGTATCCTCCGAGAGAATGGGGTGAGCGTCTTCACGGGAAAAGAAAGGCCGAATTCTTGGAAAGTTCCTCTTTTATGTGTGCACGTCTTTGTCGCTCTCCTCACCCCCCACGGACTATAGCGAAAAGCGAGGGCTGTGCGACGACAGTCAGAAGAAAGCAGAAAAACGAACAACGAGCGATACGAGCGAACTGAGCAGACGTGCGTGGATAAGGTATTTGTGAATATCTTTTTTTTTTTTTTTACCGTGAAATATACGAAGCTTCAGACGTGCTGAGCTTGTTGGTATGAACCCATCACAACAAAGAGCACAAACACGAAACGAGGCACACCTACAGGAATGAGATGAAGTCTGTTTTGTACTTTCTGCGTATTTATTTCATTTATTTACTCTGGGAAAAACTATGGTGCGGCAGGAGTTGAGGACGCGTGTTCGCTTTCCGCCTTTATATACGACAAGCGCACATTTCCATAGCGCCGAAATGCGCGAACACCAATGTTCTGGAGTACCCCATGACGGCGTTCCTCATAATCACTGCAAGCTCGCTCTAAGGGGACACGGGCGCTTGCAAACTCTTCTCTCGGAGTCGGCTGTGAATATTCGTCATCGGTTTCAATAAACCACAAAACTGAGCAATATTTATTCCGTTGCTCACTGCATTAACTGGCTAAAATCATCCTACTGCCTGAAAATCTTGCAGATTTTTCAGCCAGTAACAACGAAGCGAAGTGGCATGAAATTTGCTGAATGCACGGCGTGGTGTAAGAAAGTGCTTTGGTGCAGGGACAGCAATGAGGCACCAGGGCTCTTTTTTTTTTTTTTCTGCTTTGAAGCACCCGCGACAAGTGAGGTCCTTCAGGGAGGCAGAAAGGCGGATAACGTTTGACTATGCTCCCACTGAGCAGGTCTGGTGGGGGAGCGGCAGTGGTGAAGCCCATCTATATTTCCTATGCACTGAGGGTTTATGCCACTCAATCTAAGGATTGCAACGTCGAGTAGGGAACTTGTTGGTTTTCTTCAGTGCCAGTGTACAACACCATGCGACAAGGCACCTTGCCGACGCTTTCGCCTGAAGGAGAGAGAGAGAGAGAGAAAGGCAAAGGAAAGGCTTATATGCTACCCTACACGGGGAGGGGGAAGGGGAGAAAAAGAATAAAGAAAAATGTCAAGGGCATGCGGCACCTGCTGACAATTCGTCATTGGGAAGTCTGCCGTGCAGAGAACTGTCAATGCGTCAAGATAGCAGCTCCTTGACTCGTTAGCGTGAGTCATAAGGCTGACGAGTAGAAATAGCCGATCTTGAACTCACGCCTAGTAGCTCGAAAAGAACAGTAACGTTTCTGAAAAGGATAAGTTTATAAGAAAGTGTGGTGACATCGGTGCGCATAAAATACGTTTACATGAGTGCGAAACATGCGCTTCGCATTCATGTAAGCAATAGAACGCGCATTGCACTAATGCGTAGGAAATGGGCAGTTTTGCGAGTGCCGGTCAATTCACGGGCCGTAAATCACGATGAGGGGAATGGTGGCCCCCCGTTGTGCGAACTTCGACCGTCCCTCTTTCGCTATAAGGAATTATTATTAGCTCAAGAAAACAAAAACACTCGAGAAAGAAGTGGGACGAAGCAGAAATGTCGGGAGCCGAGATATTCCTGCCTCCTGCCACTCCTTTCTCAAGTCATTGTTATTTTGCTCGCGCTAATATGTACCTATTTATATAGTGGTTGATGACGCAGAAAATCGTGCGAATTTCTGTTTCCCATGCTCGAGGCACGACTAAGCTAATGAGTTATTTTTTTTTTAATTCTTTTACATAAACCAACTCACCCAGCTACAAGTCGCTGTAATTCGATAATCGCTCGCTGTAATCCGACACCACATGGTAGCTGCGGCGTACAGAAGACGAGAGGTCCTGCAAACGGCGTCGCATCACCTTTCCGAAACGCGCTTGCAAAGTCGATGGGCTACTCTGGCATTCGTGTAAAATTGATTACAGCCTGACAGCTCGAGGCAACTGCCAGTCAGTCGGCTGCCAGCTGGTGCGACTAACTAATTTCATTCAACAAGAGGCTGGCACGCCGTCTCCACGGTTGTTGGGAGTGGGGTCCAGTTCGTCTTTCCTCGATAAGAAAGCACGTTTGCGTATAGCCGGGCGTCGACAGTTTGCCGTAAGCCGGCACGGCACGCACAGCGTTTATACGAATGCGACAACTGGCGAATCACGACCATGTAAACGGGGGTAATGCGCTAGATAGACGTATCGCACAAATGCGCCAAGCAGGTCTGGATTTCGAGGGGTAAGTCGACCCAGAGTACTTTTCACGACAAAGGAACGCCGACCACTCGTCGTGTTGGCCTTGTGTGCACTTCTCGCACACTACAAGACAGCTGCGAGGACAGAAAGCAAGAGCTTCTCGGGACCAAAGTCCGCTAAATTTTTCTCTTTTATCTAAGTAACGCCAACTGCCTCCTCTCCCGACCCTCTCTCACACACAGCCGGTGTCTGCCGCCATGTGCTTCCTAACTAGGAAGACTTCCAAAGCCACGTACGTATAAGTAAATTAGCCACGCGCCTATCAGTGAACAATGTGCGAACGCGACGCGCCTTTCTCCTCCAGCTAGTCCCCCGTCAATAGTGAGCGAGGAACGCGTTTTACCAGGTGCTTCCATGGGAAGAAGGGGTGCCCAAGGCG